TGGTTCTGGCAAATGTTGAAAACTGGGAACTGGATTCAGTGTTGCTATAGAAACAAAATGCTACTGCCAGAGTGGAGTAGTACTCTTGAGGTGACAATTAGATAGCCAACAGGTAGATAGGAAGCTCCTAGGGAGCAAACAGGCAACAAATAGAAGGGACAAGTCTATTTTTCCTCCTTCAACTTTGCAGGCTCTATCTTCTATTAATGGCTGACCAGTATCCACCTGGTGAAGCTGAAGCATGGTTTGCAGTATTCCAGCATCAGTTTTCCAGAGCAGAATACAGAAGGGTGGATTTGGAGTTGAGGATCAAGAAACTGATCCCTAGCACATTTACATTCTAATCTGAGTATTGCTAGGTAGATCCTCCTGAGAAAGTCATGGGTCTAGGAGAACCCCAGAGTGTCTTGGGATAGTTTAATTTCTTTGGTTTCAGAGAAGGGGAAGAAGAGAAACTAGGCTTTTTGTTCTCTGTGTTGAGCTGGTCTGGAAAGGTCTGCCACTAGACATAGCTATCCCATAGTGGCCAAACTCACTTCATCTCTAACCCACACTATCCCGAAGATCCTAAGGGAAAATGAATTCCTACAATGAAGGAATACCAGTAAAGGAGGGGAATGGGGGAAGGGAGGAAGGGAGGGAGGCAAACAAAAAGCACTGGAGACTGAAATGGAGTGAATTCTATTTTATGCATGTATGATTATATCAAAATGAACCTCACTATTATGTATAACTGTAATGCACTAATACAAACATAAAAGAAAAAAGTAAGAAAACAGCTGTCACTACTGTGGCTGAGGGAATAACCACAATAAAAAAAAAAATTGGAATTTACAACTTAGTCACCTAGAGGAGGAAAAAAGCTAGGCTTTCCTCACAGGCTGCTCCTTCTATAACAGTATTCTAAAGTATCTCTCATTTTAATCTGATGCCATTTTTCCATTTTGATACACTTTGTAAAGGGCCTGGAGGGCTGAATAGAGAGAGTAAGTGAATTAAACTGGCAAATATTGCCATCAAAGAGACTAATAAGAGTGAGAGCAACCCAGCAAAAGTATTTCTACCTTTAAAATGCTGGAGGATATATCTGTGGGAAAAAATGAATTATGGATTAATATTCCAGGATGAATTAGCAAGACAAAGGGGCTATTTGGCATGAAACAGATAAATTATATTGATGTTTGTGATGACGGGAAAATGTAATCTGATCACTTGTGGGTTTATGGAATAGTAATGTTTCCTTTTGAGTGTTTTAGGAAGACCACTGTGAATGCCTGGGATCCATATGTGTTCATTCTGCCTCTTTTATGAGTCTCAGTTTTTCAATGAACTTTCATTGTCACATGATGTTTTTTTTTTCATACTCTGCTCATTTTTTTCTTTTCCCCAGCTCTGATTTTCCAGATCTAATTTTTTTCAAATATCTTCACTGTTGAAGATATCTGAAAAAAATTAGATCTGGAAATTCACTGTTGAATTCACTGTTGAATTCTTGCCTGATTCTACAGAATAGTCTCATTAGTCTTCACACTTTCCCCCATGTTAAAGTCATTACTCACCAAGGGAGGTGGTTGCTGTGCAGAGATCTCTGGGGCAGGGGTCAGATCTTGGCTTTGCTGAATGTCTGTGTAGCCTTTAGAAGGTCAGGACTTTGGGCACTGGGCTTAGTTTCTTTTCCATAAAATAAACAAATTGGACAATATAATTCCTAAGATTGCTTCAATGTCTAACATTGTACAATTCTGGAGATTTGAGGGAGTGCTTTAGGATAAAGGATTATTAATCTAACAAACACTACCCACAGGGAGGAAAAATTTTTTTCATTTATTTAATTTATTTATTAAGATTTATTCAGTCCCCTAGAAAAAATGACCATTGTTTAATTAACAATTAAGACTCTTCAAAATGAAGAATTTTTGTGTATCTTTGCTGTCTAGTGATACCCAATCCTGAGATTGCAGTGGACTTTTCACCTAGTGCCGAAAATTTTAAATAGGACTGTATTGGTGATCTGTTGCCTGTTTTAAAATGAAAACATAAACCATGAAAGGATCTAAGTTGCTGATTATTGTGGGTCTGATAACTTTGGAAGCAATTTCTGGAATTACAAGTCCTTTACAAGGGAAGATAGGTGAAGGCTTCCTTGGGATAAAGTCCTAGAGGTAGGGCAGGGCCAGTATAAGAAATATCTCTAAATTGTCTTAATGCTGAAGTAATGGGCAGAAAATTGAAATGGAAGGCCTAGAAGCAGTATTTAGTGGAGCAATTAGGCTACAACATCTGTCATTCTATTGATCTCTTGGATTGATTCCATGTGTCTGGTCAGCCAGACCAACATCTCCTGTCAACCTCACCTCTTTCAGTGCACATTTTGAAAAATTATTCTTCCATGGAGGAGGCAGCCATGTTTTTCAGTCAAGCTGCCCTCTTTTGCTAGGTTCTCAGCTCCTCTACAAGGAGACTAGTTGTAATATTCTTAGTGTTATTTTTGGAAAAGACATAGATGTGTCTGAAGAATTTCAGTGATTCACTCAATCATTCAATAAATATTTAGTAACCATCTGTGATAGAGTAGGCATTATGACAAGTGCCAGGCATGCCCTCAGCCTCATGGGGCTTAAGGTCTCTCCCATTTTATACTTCCATCTTTCCTGGTTATCCCATCCACCTTCCTCCATTTCCAAAGTCTCCAAAAGAGTAGATTTGAACACCGTTTTGTCATTCAAGGCTTTTCTGTTTTGGAAGATTTAAAATTATGTAGTGCTAATCTTACAGGAAATATCCACAAGGTTTTTTAGAGTCTGATGCAAATCAAATGATTCTTAGGATCACCATCTGAAGTTTTCTTAGAAGGGTGCTTTGAGCAATTTTTTTGTTTGACTAGATGGATTTTACTGTCTTTTGATGTCCTTGCCATGTGTTAACTCCTCCCTTCACCCCCAGTGTACTTGGCTTTATTATTATTATTATTATTATTATCATTATTATTTTTTTTAGTGAAATCATTCTGACTTTAAATTTCTATTCTATGCTGTATGTAAAACAGAGTTCTGAGATTATGGGAGAACTAGTTCATTTTACTTTATAACTCAAAGAAAAAATAAGAGAAGAAATTAAGGTTTATTAATAATGCTAATAATTATTTTGAAATGAGTCAGTGTGTCTTGAATTTTTAGTGAGGTATGTATTCTTTTCTCCAGAATAATGGCTTCTTTAGTGAGATCTGATAAAGCAATTTGCAAATTGCAAGATCTTAAATGTATTGTTGACTCATTGTTCCTTTAACCTGTTTTTGTCTTCTTAATGTATTACAGGTTATTCTGTATCAACTTCACTTTCTTTCAAGGGATTTAAAGCTATTTTTATAATTTAAGGCATGTATAGCTTCTTTCAAATTCAGTGTTTGGCAGTGTTCTGGTGTAAGCTTCCCAGAAATGTAAGCATATTATTATTTCAAAGTGGCCTCTTTCAGGGCCTTGGCTGTTGCAGAAATTTGGCTTATGAATCATTTGAATGAATAACACTTGTTGCTAATCCTTTGTAGTCTGAAAAACAATGTGTGTGATGAACCCCAAGAATACCTCATGATAATATATAGATTTTAAATGTTGTGCTATGCTTTGATGCTGTTTAAAATATTACAGAATTCAGAATATAATACAGTGGATACAAAAACCACTATTTCACAAATAGCTTTTTTCATAATTAGCTATTGTGCTTGTATTTTGTAGTGTTATAAACTCTTTTTGAGATATCAGTTCTTTTTAGAGGTGCTTCAATCATGTGTAAGGGTGTGACCCTTTCTAAATGTCCTAAGTTAATATTTTACATCAAAAGGGCTTTCTCTACCTATAACTGAGATGTCTACATAGAGGGATTAGACAGTGTCCTTTAGAAATAACATGTTAGAGTAGTATATCAGGGTTCTTTTTCTCTGGTTTTCTAACAATAGATGCTTCAGATGAACACTTGATTTTGAATCCAGGCTGCACACTTGATTCTGAAACCAGGTCACACCCTTACCCACTCTATCACACTTAAACCTCCCAACAAAACAAACAATGACAAACTTAGTATATGTGCATCTTTGATTTATGGGAATTTCCAAACATTTGCAAAAGTAATATGAACGAAACGACCTTCTTGTTATTATATTCATAAATTATCAGCTTTTGCTACTCTTGTTTCATCAGTTCCGCATTCTTTTCATTATAATTATTCTGCTGGAATTTAATACCAATATCATATTTTTTATCCATAAATACTTAAGTGCATTTCTTAGATCTGTAATGGTAGAGAGAAATTTTAGGCGAAAATTGTTAAATTTACTTTATTTCTGTCTTGTGTCTGAAATTAGTATAATTCATTTTTTTTTTTCTTTTTGTGGTGTTGGGGATTGAACCTAGGGCCTTGTGTATGCGAGGTAAGCACTTTATCAACTGAGCTATATCTCCAGCCTGAATAGTTCCTTTTTTGTTCCCCACTGATTGGTTTAGTTTTCCTAGATTTATTTTTGTCTCTCCTTGTCTGCCTCCAAATTCTCATTTTATTTTTATCATGACCATTCTGGGCCCAGAACAGAGAAAAAAGCATGGTAGTACACAATTTATATACACATGTATAAGTGATTTTAAAATTTCACTTTTGGTGACCACTTTTATTTCTTGGTAGTCAGATTAATAGTGAGATTTTTAGTTTAGGCCTAAAGCTCTCCTTTATGAATTTACCCAAGGAATGGAGTGGAGATTTGAGTGTATGTTAGTAAAAGGAAGTTGGGTCATTGGGGAGAACCTAAGCAAACAAGATTGAGATTTTATCAGCATTAAGTATTATTCTACTTGACAACATAGTTCATGTGTGTTTATGCCCTGAAAGTAAGGCAAATTGAGCAGTTTTAAAACAAAATGGTGGAAAGTTTTGATAGTTTCTACTTCTATTGCTTATACATCAAACTAGCCATTTCTCAGCAACTCTGATTCAGCAATTCATTTCTTTTTCAGCGGAACTTCCACCTCCATACACCGCTATTGCCAGCCCGGATGCCAGTGGTATTCCTGTAATCAACTGCCGAGTGTGCCAATCGCTAATCAATTTGGATGGCAAACTTCACCAGCATGTGGTTAAGTGTACGGTTTGCAATGAAGCTACGGTAAGTGGAAATTTCCATTAACAAAAGCATAAATTATTACCTAAAGGAAGTTCTTTGATAATGTTACTTAAGAGTGGATGGGTACAAATAGAGTGATCTTTTTTGTCTTTTTCTGTCTTTTGTCATACAAGGATGCCTCCTTATTTGAGCTAACCCTGTTAAATCATATTTTTGGTGAATTTACTTTCTAAAATAAGACTGGCAGATATTTATGATTATCTTAAGTATCTGTTTACATCACAACTAAATCCCTTCTGGCTTTCACAAAAATTGAAAATATACTAGACTTTAAGGCAAATGTGGACTTTGTCCCTATTATGTAGAAAATTTTTTAACTTATTTTATGTCTGCAGGATGTCAGTATTATTTTCTCTGAGCTTTTATAACTATGTGATTATTATTAAAAATCTGTGTCAAAGTGTTTACAAATACCTTGACATTTTATTCCATTTGCTAGATATTAAGTCAGTGAAATGTTAAAAAATTTGAAGGATACTTTTTTAAACTGAACTTTGGGAAGAACAAATACATTTTAAGCAAACATTTTACAGTTTCACATCATAAACTGGTAAATCATATACTGCCTTAGATGAAATGTGTTTCTACTTTCATCATTAGGTTTTGTTTTAAATATTCTGGTCTTTCTCAAAATCTGCAAAATTCAATAGTTTAAATTTTGGTGTTTGTACTTTTTTCCTCTTTAGAAAAGTCTAAAAAAGTCAGCTAGTGATTATTGTGTCTCAAAAACTACAAATCATGGATACTGGCCTTCATATGTTTGATAGAAATGTCCTAAAATAAAACCTGAAGTCATAAAGCAATATATTTCATTGTCAATAGTTTTTTTCCCCGTAAATGATGTCATTTGGAGAAAAATTTTATTGTGTAAATTGGTGATACCTACAAAACTAGCAGTTTTCTTCATAAGTTGAATGCTGAGTAGTGAATTGAATTAGCATTAACTTCTTTAGTGTTCTTTGCAGAGTTGACAAGAGAGTAAGAGTTGTGAGTGGAATAAGAAAAGTAAGAGTTGGGAGTCTCATGAGTCATAAAAGCAATTAAAATAACAGTGCCTTCAACGGTTCCTTGGATTCCATGTTAGTGTTAATATCATCCATATCAATTCTTGTTCTTTAATGAATAGACAAAGGGAGTTATAAAGTTTTATAACTCATGGAGATGAACGGAACAGCCTTGGTCATTTGTGTAGGAATCTCAACGTGCAGATTTAGCAAACAGGATCAATCTGGCTACTTAGAAGTGAAGTTCAACAGGATCGGTGGGGTTTGGCTATAAGAAAACTACCTCTGAATGTAAGGGAAATTTTGCTGAAATTGTTACATGATTATTGCCTCCTGTGGAGTAAAGTACAATTGTGAAGATTCCAGGGAGAGTGAATAGTATTTAATCAGATTGCCTTGTTTGGTATCAGTAACATTACAGAAGAGGAAAAAGAAAAAAAAAAAAGACCTTGAGCAGTATCTTAGCATACAACTTGCTAATATTTAAAATGTGACTTGATCTTAAATTCTAAATGAAGAAGTGTTAGGAGATTAGGAGCTTCTTTGGAGATGTTCTAGGTTGAAAATACAAATATAATGGGCTATGGCCAATGGTCCCTTATATATATAATTCTCTGTGCCCCGTTGAGTTTCACTATGATTCATTCTCCTCATGTCATCTAAAACGGGGTATCAGTATATCTGTCCTCTTTAATGACAGCCACTCTGATAGAAACCTGATACACCTATGCCGATTAAAAAACAGAAAAGAAAAAAAGAGAGAAAGAAATCTAAGGTTAATAATAGATGTCCTTTTTCAACAGACTGAATTGGGAAGTAAGGAGCACATGTATGTATTATGTGTGTGCACACATGTGCTAGCAAGACTTGGAGAAATACAGAATTAAAGGTTAAGGGAGAAATGATTTCTAGTACAAGTTAATGGAAAATCTGAGATGTCTTGGAGAAAAAGTGGCACTAGATGACTGTGTAACTGATGGAGAGACTAAGATTCAGAGGCTGAGGCCTGAGGTTTGAGTCCTTGCTCTGTCATTTAGTAACTCTATTTCTTTGGAGACGTTACTTCTCTAAACTATGGTTTCTCATTATTAATAGCAATTCCTGCATTATAGGTTTGCTGTTGGGATGCAGGGGTTAAAAGCCTAGCACAGTGCCTGGTACCTGTAAATCTATTTTGCTAAGTAAGAATCTTCAAACTTGTACATAAGGACATGTTTCATTTTGTTTTGTTTTTTTCTTCTTCACTGAAGACTGAACATGACATGGCATAGGCTAGCACTGAGCACTAGTGCTTGAAATCTTCTAGTTCAGTTACTTGGTGTCATGAGTGAAGGAATTGAGGTCTAGAAGTGAGATAGGAAGAAGATATTTTTTAAAAATCCTGTCATTTGTCAAGCAGTTTCTTAATGGCAAATTTTGGATATACACAAATTAATTCTTCTATTCTATTTTTTCTCAATACTTCAGAAATTATAGGTATATATTCTGGATGTTTGTGAATTTGAGATATTTGGAGTTAGTTATCTACATCTACACTTTAGTAAATCATAGGTGGCTTATTAACTTTCATATATTTTTATCAAGGTTATTTACTTTAAAATTTTTACATATTTTTTAAAAATATTACACATAAAAAGGTTAAATAGTTAAAAATGATAGTATGTATTATTTTTGTAATAATACTGAATATAACCTCAACTTCCAATGGGATTTTGTACCAGTTAGCCCTTTGTAAATTGAACATATGGTCAGTTGAAAATGTATTAATATACCTACCCTACCAAACATCCCAGGTCAGCTGCACAGTCCACTGTACAATGTAGATTGTTTCTCTTTGAGATTGCCTAACTGATTGGGAGCTGCAGCTCATTGCCTCTTCCCAGCATCTTGAAATATCATGCTACATATCTCTAGCCCAGAAAAAGATCAAAATTCAAACCTCTAAATATGATTTCTACCCAATGCACATCACTTTCACACCACCGAAAAATTATTAAGTAGAACTCTTGAAATTCAGAAGCCATCTGTAGGTAGATGATAAATTCCCTTGTGTCTCTTAATTACAAACTCCCCAAATATTAGCATTATATTACATTAGCTTTTCCTAAGTAATTTTTTCTAGTCTAGATTTTCTAAAACCAAGGGAATTCACTTAAATAATCACAGAAAAATAATCAAATGTAAGAAATTAATATAGATACAATATGTTATCTAATCTTTTGACCTAATTCATGTTTTCCTGATTGTCTTGTTAGTCCTCTATGGAGGAAAAAAAAATATTCTACTCCAGGAATCAAACCAGAATCGCTTGTTGTATTAGGTTGTCATATCTCTTTACTGTCCTTTTATCTGAAACTTGTTCTTTCTTCATCTTTTATTTTTTTAACATTACAGGCAAGATATTTTGTAGAATGTCTCTCAGTTTTGGGTTTGTCTGATGTTTCCACATGATTAGCTTCGGGTTATACTTTTTTGGCAGGAATGTTGCAGGAGTGATGTTCTGTTCCGTTCATAGATTATTTAGTTCAACAAGCTTAAGTTATTGCAAATGATATTTCCTTTGATGTTTTTTATTCTCATTTTTAAGTTTACTCCAAAGTTTTTTTAAATGTTAATACTAAGAGCAATTACAAGATTTTTAAAAAAGTTATGTCATAAAATTAATCATTTATATTCTACTGAATGAAGTTTGAGAAAAGTTCAAATGTGTTCTGAACTCCACTTTTCCCGTTGTTCTTACTGAGCTTGCTTTTCCTGGACAGGGGCAGGAATCTTCTATGAATACTTGCACCTGGCCAGAGAGAGAAAGAGAGATAACCTTGTCTTGTGAAATTTAAAGGGAAAACAACTCTTGGTGTGTGATAAATATTCCTCGTATACTAAAAAGTCAGTACAAACTCATTTTGAAATATTCCCTTAAAAATTAATCTCTACCAGCTCCCAAAATATCATAGAGTGCTTGCCAGCATGTGTGCTATTTGAACCACTTGCAGTGCACCTTTTCTTTGGTACTTTGGTAGCACTTTGGGGAGCTTTAGTTTTAAAGGAATCATTTCCTTATTAAACACAAACAAGCTTTGACAATCTGTATCTTGGTTAATTTGCTGTGTTTGCATTTTCTTCCCTTATGTAGCCAATCAAAAACCCCCCGACAGGGAAGAAATATGTTAGATGCCCTTGTAATTGTCTCCTCATTTGTAAGGACACATCTCGGCGAATAGGATGTCCGAGACCCAACTGGTAAGAGAGAAAGATTCATTCATTTGTTCATTCAACAACTATTTATTAAAGACTCATTATATGCCAGGCTTTGTTCTAGACAGTATTTGCCCTTAAACTGATTATAGCATCTAGATTAGTATTTTGTTGTTGTTGTTTTTTGCTTTTTGTTAATGAAATGACATGCTTAGAACTTCATGGTCATAGGTATTTGTAGGATATAATATTTTTGAGTGAGCAATGAATGATTTCTTTGTATGCAAGTACTTAATGCGCTATAACAAACCAATGGCTCATTGAACCTATTTAAAAAGAACCAGTTGGTTTACTTTTGATGTGGTCAATTTTAACCCAGAAATGTATTGGTTGTTATTATATATATCTCATTGTATGCTACATTACTTTCTGATGAGCACAATATATATAATAAATTCTGGAATTATTTGCTTTTGCCAAATGCCATTATGGATATGCTTAGATGCAGATATAGATATAGACATAGGTACACATACACACACACACACACACACACACACACACATACACACACAGAGACTTTAACCTGTTTTTTCTGTGATTTCTGATTCTTTGATCATTGCATGAAACATTACAGGCCCATCTGATGACAGTCTGAAAAATAGAAAGGAAAAGTGGCTCTCATTTTGCTTTCTTTCCATCTCTGATTAAACAGGCATCAAAGAATACTGGATTGCTCAGGGAAGTTTAGTTGTAACTTAGCACTTCGATGCTTTTACGACATACACATTTTTGTTGATGTAGAATATAACTCAATCTTCTACAAAACTTAATTTGTCTTCTAGAATAAGAACTGTATTCTGATTTAAACTTACAAAATCTTGGAAATGGCAGTTAAATTGTTCCCAAGATCATTGATTTGAATCTGTACAATAACATTGTTTCTATTCTAAGCATAAAAAGACTTTTTTTTTTTTTAAACTTTTGTGACTATTACTACATTCTGTGATTTTGGCTCTAAAACTGGACATTAATTTACAAAACAAGGATATTTTCACTGATAATATTCCATATTTTGGGCTGTATATTGTAGGTTGAACCCTTAGCCCATTTATAGGATAATGAAATACTTACATTTTTTTTTATTTCACAGTAGACGCATAATTAATCTTGGCCCAGTAATGCTTATTTCTGAAGAGCAGCCAGCTCAGCCTGCATTGCCAATCCAACCAGAAGGAACAAGGGTGGTGTGTGGACACTGTGGAAACACATTCCTGGTAAGTAATCGGACATTCGTTAGAGGGCATCAATCTGTAAAAGGGGGTCATGATCTTATAGATTTCACAACTGCTCATAGTCTTAGAGTTTGTTTGCCCATGAGCAAATTGATCAAAATAAAAAAGAGCCTTATTTAGAAGATGATCAAAGGCACAGCTAGGATATACAGCATCTTTTGTGAATTAGACAAAAGATCCATCCTCTGATTGGTCTAATTGCAAAAGAAAAGGGGCTTCTCTGGATAAGTCAATAAGAAAAACAGTGCCCTCTCCAGGTTTAGCTCTATGGTATCTTTTTGTTTTGTTTTTTAAATCTGTGATTATTTTGACATGGTGAGCAAAAGAATCTTAGCTCTCCTCCCACCTACTTGGCAGAACACAGAGTGCACAATCTCATGCAGTAGCTCTGCTTCATGGCTTCTAGATTCAAGAACAGTTCTTATAATTTATCAAATTTTAAAAATTAACTTTGGTACCCATAAAGGATTTCTATAAGATAGTAATCTTGCCGCAATTTTACAAATGATAAATTGACATCTCAGGAAAATTAAGCAATTAGCACTACAGATTTTGGTCAAATTTTGTCTAGCTTGACAAAAAGATTAAAATGGATAATTATATCATTGTAAATTATAGATATGAAGTCTGCTAATGATTTTTGGATAAAAACCAAGAAAATATAAGTAATTTGATATGAGCCATAGTTATTGAAATTTACTGTTTTACTACTTCTAATTTCAACTCAAAGTTTGATGTTAAAAAAGTTAACTTCATAGTGACCTACCTATCAGGAAGAAAAAGAACAGGTTTTCTTTTGTTGTCCAGTCTTTATTGGAGACAAAATAGAACCTCAGTATTAAAGGTCCCTTCCAGGGTATAAACAAGATGGCAGCAAAATACAACAGACACTAGTATGGCAGTATGTATAAATGTGGATGTGTAACCAATGTGAATCTGCAATCTGTATATGTGGTAAAAATGGGAGTTCATAACCCACTTGAATCAAATGTATGAAATATGATATGTCAAGAGCATTGTAATGTTTTGAACAACCAATAAAAAAAATTTTAAAAAGACCTGCTGTCATTAAGGAATGAGTGAGTTGAGAAAAGAGTGGGTGATTTGGTTTTTTTTTCTTCTTCAAATTTTTGCTTTTATTAAGGTAATTCATATGCACAATTCTAAATGTCACACGGACTGCAGCCTCCTAATCTGGCTGACCTCTAGTTTTCATCCCCCAGGTACTTTCAACTCTTCCAGCTGTTCTGCTAGTATTTCCATGTGTTTGCATTGTTTGAGCATCCTTTTTCTTTTTGATTAAGAAATTTTAGACATTATGTAAACAGGTAAAGTTGTAGGATTTAGCCCTCATACCACCCTCCCATTCTTCTTCCTTTACCTGTTTCCATATTCCCAGTCAAGTTATAATATTATTTAGTGTTTGCTTTTTTATGATTAGGTAAATTACATTCACAGCCTAGCCAAGTAATATAGTACATTTTTTTCATATGGCTCTGTAAACATTTTCTTGGATTTATAGATAACTGTAACCTGTAATGAAACCTGTAAAGAAGCAAACAAAAGCGCACGCACATACACACACACACACACACACACACACACACACACACACACACAGAGACAATGCAGAAGAGAAGTGGCTGCTCCTCCCAGCAGTTGCGTTTATTTTTCTCAAAAGTTAGGTAGCTCACCGATACCATAACTACATTCTATAACTACATTCTAACTAGTATTCCTTTAACCCTGAGTGCTAGCTAACTGAGATAATGTCCAGGTTAATACAAATACAGAGCCTTTTTCTCCAAGGACGTCACCATAGAAACTAGAGAGTACACCTGCATAGTTACCTTAATAGCTTCAATGGGAAACTGCTGGGTATTCCAAGTGTGGGAAACAGGGCACCACTAACACCCTCCCAACCCTCCATCCCCCAGAGTTTGCTCACCAGGGGAATGCTTCCCTGTACATTTCCACTGTCAGAATACCTACAGCAACCTCCCCTTTGGATTTGTTTAATTTTTCATATATAAATCATTAGTTCTTCTCATATTCTTTTATTAAACTATAAACTTCCCATTAACATAGGCCAATGGGTCAGGTAATCTTTTATTTAGGCTTCCTGCTACTAAGCTGTCATTTTTCACCATCAAACTGAAAATTCCTCTTTCTCCTTTCTGGTTTAGATCCCACACTGTCCTGATTGTTCTTGGCTTATTCCTTCATTGTGGTGGAGCAAGTCTCTCTTTACTTTCTGAGAAAAGAAGGAGAAGAGAAATGAATTTTAACCCTTTTATTTCTTAGATGGTTTTTGATCTGATGTCATATTCCCTTTGTGGTTCTTCCAGATGTAGAATTCAAGGTTGCCAATTTCTCCTCTCAGAAAGTTGAAGGTTTTATGCCACTGTTCAAGAGAAAATTGGCTGTATTATGACTCCTGATATTTTCTATATGACCTGTTTCTTTCTGTTTTTTTTTCTCTTATTTTCTGTTCTCTTCTTTCATTTTCTTCACTGTCCAAAAATTCCATGAGGATGTACTTTAGTGACAGTCTTTTGGCTCCTCAGTAGGCCTTTTATAGCCCACTCCATTTTATTTGTTCCCTTTCTAGAACTCCTTAGATAATTTACTAGGAAAATTCTTCAACATTATTTAAAATTCTTCAGTTTTCCTAAACTTAATAAAAGCTTTTAATTTTAGATGATCTAACTTAATTTTTAATTTTGAAAAGCCTTGTTCTCTGATCCCTTTCTGTTTTTCTCCTTTTTTTGTAGAATTCTCTTTTTTATGGCATTTTTTTAGAAAATATTAATTGTGTTTTTCTGAGGCATTATTTTTGGATTTCTTGTCTCTGTTTTCTTTTCATTTTTTCTATTTGTTTTCCTTTTATGATAGAAGTCTTAATCATATTTCACTTATATTTAAGAGTAAGTCACTGATTGAAATCCATTTCTGAAATACTGAGACATCAAAAAGAATTGTCCCATGTATTAAAATAAAATAATATCATGCGCTGTGTTTTCAACAGCATTCTTCTATTTAGCCTTTATTTATTTATTTATTTGGTACCAGGGATTGAACTCGGGGGCCCTCAACTCCTGAGCCACATCCTCAGCCCTATTTTGTATTTTATTTAGCCTATAATCTTTTAATACATCAATATTATAAAGCTAAAGTTAAACTGACAAGGACTTTGCACTGTTCATACAATTTATTGCACAGTCTGGCTGGAATGAAGAGTACAGTTTAGGTTCTTTTTTTTTTTTTGGAGTGGGGGTAAATTTCTCTGGGGAAGGATCCTCTAATATATTGTGATAGATAGTCCAGGGGACAGCATTCTAGGAGCCAAGAGAAGTAACAGGGGGTGGGGTTATCATGGTTTGAACTCAGGGACACTCAACCACTGAGCCACTTCCCCAGCTCTATTTTGTATTTTATTTAGAGATAGGGTCTCACTGAGTTGCTTAGCAGATCACTTTTGCTGAGGCTGGCTTTGAACTATTGATCCTTCTGCCTCAGCCTTCCAAGCTGCTGGGATTATGGTGTGCACCACCATACCCAGAAAGACAATAACTTTAATGTACATATATTTCAGAGTCAATGTTAACCATTGTCTGTTATATCCATTAAAAATATATTCCAGTAGGGTACTATTGAATTATTAATTTTAGGTAATATATATTTTTTGAGCCTTCTAAGATAAGTTTAAATAAATATATATTAGGAAACTAAGTTTGTCTATTAAATACATTGATTTTTAGAAATAAGTAAAACATGGGAAGACTTCTAGAAATGATTGTGATTGAGGGAAGTTGCTCTTGATCTTTCTTGACAGAAATGAGTTTTGTTTGTTTATTGAAACTGCAAGTTTTGGCAACAAAATTCTAAGTGTAAGAAACAATGTTTTAAATAGAGGAACAGTCATAAGTCAACTTCTTTTCAAAAGCAGTTATTTGAATTGAGTTGAGTAGATTATGACAAAATCATTTTTAATAATGAATGCCTTTCTGTTCTTAGTTTTCGACATTTAAGGGAGTACTTGTAGATAACAATAAAATCTAATGTGTGGATTCTGAGTTACTCTTGACCCAGGGTTTTGCAGATGCCTCTTCAATCCTTTTCGCTTCTTTTAACTATGAAAAACTGAAATTTGTTACTTATAGATTATATCTAAAAGGACATTACAAATTCAGCAACTATGCTAAACGTACGGAAATATAAAAGAACACTTAATATTTCTATATCCTTCTACTACCGAATGTTCTGTTCCGATTTCTGTAAAAATCTACGTAAAACTGTTCAGTATATTACTTCTAGAACTTTTACTGATAAAAGTAACTTCAAAATAATTCAAGTTGTTACAAAGTATAAGTAAATGAGAGGAAGTTTTGCTGTTGTTTCAAAGATGATGTTGCCTTGGGTTGATATTCTCAGATGTTGAAAAACAGTAATCTTGAAAAATAAATGAAAGTAAAAAAAGTGAACAGTCATGTGAATTTTTATTTCTAGTTTCCCTGTCTTAAGACTCTATGTTCCTATTGTGACAGAGAAATTATCAAAGTTCACTAAATTTCATGATGTTTGACATAATGATGAAGAAAAGGAGTCCAAGAAACCCAAATTTGTTAGAAAAAAGCATGTTTCACATATTTTCTGAAAATTATATAGTGTGGAAAATATTTAAAAGAATAAGTTCTTGAAACCTCGCTGCCTACAATTTGAATCTTCTAGAAAGAAAAATTGATGACCTAGAGTTTTATATAAAATTAATTTTGATAGAGGAAAAGTTGTTTGATAATGAACTACTAAAGTACTTAAAGAAATTCCCCTAAAACTATAAGGAAATAATACTCTTACCTTTTCTAGAAGGTATATAGAAAAATAAACAAGATGGAAAGTTAAAAGCCATTTTTGAATGGAGGGGGTCACATAGAGTGCGGCAGAGTGAACTGAGGACCTTGCACATGTTCAGCTTATGCTCCACCGTGAGCCACACCCACAGCACATTAGGAAATCACTTTAAAATCCATATTATGGGGCAAAGATTTAAATTTTCATTGCATATTTTTGAAAGACTTTAACCTACTATCAGGAAGGCATTTTGAATATCTGAATAATATTCCTATGAAGAAGATAGTACATTCTATCACCTACATTTATAGGAAAGAAAAGAAGAAAAGTGTACCAAGAAGTACTGTGTTTTAGTTGCATGATGCAAAAAATGTCAAAGGAGAAGTAGTTTTTTGGTTTCAGTTGGCCAGTATCTCGTTTGTGTGGTTTATGTATTTTGTGGCTATTCACATAACTAGAATAAATAGTTGCATTACAGTAATAAATCTAACTCTTTTCCTTTAGTCTGATTTTCAAGACTAAAGGAAAAACAATTTGGAAGGTCTATGAAATACCCTGGAAGTGAACTGAAACGTGAGGAGCAAGGAGATGACCCTAACTACCTCATTACATTCAGTTTTCATTGTAAAACTAATCTAGATTGCGTCAGAGCCTTGGAAAAGTCATGGGAACTGTTTCAGAGGGAGATCCCAAACTGTATTTTGAGGGCAGGAGAGAAGTGTTGGAGGAAAAAACTCATGTAACCATGAGAAGGCAATCGCTTCTGCTGTCGTCCCTGATGACATTTAAACTAAAAGAAGCATTTTATCAGATTGGATGGTTTCCAGCTATTTTTTTTTTCAATCCCTCTTTATTTATTTTACAGTGGATGGAACTGAGGTTCAACACTCTGGCAAAATGCCCACACTGCAAAAAAATGTAAGTTTTCTACCTTTGGAGATACTTATTGGGAAGTACTTAGTTTAAGGAGTTCAGAATTTAAGTCACTTAAGTAGAGTTTGATTTTTTTAAGTCAAGGTACAAAATAAGTGCATGCTTAATGTATTGATGATTTTCAAAACTAAAGATATGCTATTTTTAAACTAATTAATATATTCCATTTTGAAATTAAAATGCTTATACTTGATTATCATTCTCTAAAGAGAAATTGGTTTCTAAGAAACTAAAATTGATAAATTGACAGTTACCTGGTAAGGGTTTTCAAATGTCTTAGTAAGTTACAATATGAAAAACAAATAAGAAAAAAAGTGGTGAATTTTTATCCCATAAGCAAAATCTTCTCTATGAGGAAGCTCACATAGACACTCAATGCTTACACATATCAAAATTCCAGCTACCCGAAGGAAAGTGGATGTTCAGCATAAGCCATGTTGTTTATTTATACAAACAATTTACACATAGTTTGTCAGTCAGGGAATAGTGGGAACTCCCAAAATTTTAAGTTCCTGGATGCCAGTTAAGGGCCAAACTTGAGCATAAGGCTTTCTAAGGACAGCAGACTCAGGCCTACTAAGTTAATCCTTTATGCACAGCTTGTATTTGGATCATGAATTTTGAATTAAATTATCCTCCACTTATATGTGTGAATTATAGCTTAAGCAAGGGAAATTAAATTGGAATGCTTTGAAAATTCAATTTTAAAAATTGAGAATATAGGGATCATAATTTTTTTGTCTTACCTTTTATATATGAATACCTTATCTAGTTTGAGAATAGAGAAATCCCAAGAATGGCTCCTAGAAAAATATAATTAAGTGGCTGAAATATAGAGCATATATAAAAAAATGCCTCCATTTATCTGTTAGGTCTGATTCCAACTAAATATAGCCCTAAGAGAATGTCTTCTTCACAGCATATTTTAAAATATTTTTTAGTTATAGATGGATGCAATATCTTTATTTTGTTTATTCATTTTTATGTGGTGCTGAGGATCGAACCCAGCACCTCACATGTGCGAGGCAAGTGCTCTGCCACTGAGCCACAACCCCAGCCCCATACAGCATATTTTTAACTTTCAAAAACAGATATTTCCTTTTCATTTGTAAAATTAATCATTCAAATTATTAACTTTATTGAGTTCAGTTGAAATCTGTTCATGGAGATGACCCCAAATAAGTACACAGAAAAATTCATATTTGAGGGACATACCTATACTCCCCTCAACACATATGAATATACATGTGAATGATACATATTTCTGTTTATTATCTGTATTTTCACAAAAATGAACAAAACTAAATTTCAGATATCTGCACCAAAAACATCAAATTGGATAAAAAAAAATGATAGAAAATAGAAAGTAGAGACTTCTTGTGATTAGCAGAGTCTGGGCCAAGCATGGCAGTAGTTGCTTTTGTACACATAAACACTAGCTATAATCTTTATAGCCATCCCAGGATGCAGGGATTTTCATCCTAATTTTACAGATGAGGAACTGTTAAGAGAGGTTAAAGATGTTATTCAAGGAAATTGTTCCATTAATTATTTTAGCACAAGGGCAATATTTTGCTGGTAAAAAAAAAAAAAACAACAAGTATTGAATGTCTCGATGCTCTGATTACAAGACAGTGTTGTTAATATAAAGAAGAATTTGTAATAATTAGGGAACAACTTTCTTAGAAATTCACATGAAATCAGCTTACATATCATTCTAAGAGGAAGGTTTGTGGCCTCAGAGTCACATGCTAAGCATGGGAGGACTCGGGGCAGTCATTACTTGTATGAGAATAGATGCTGTTATCACATGAACACTCATAGCTAATATTTGGATTTCTTTTTTTTTTTTGGTGTTTTTCTTCATAACAAAGGGATGGGTCAGTTGGAGTAAGAATATGAGACTACTTTTGGGTTCTAGGAGGTCCTAAATTATTACTTCGAAACTTGTGTCATTTATCTGTCTCATGAAGACATGGGGAAGCTTTCCCCAAGCTCCAGAGATGGAGAAGCATTTCTTCAATCACTGCTTCTTCCTCACAATGGCTGGGGTGCTGTTGATGAAGGTGATATTTGTCTTTTTATTGGGCAGATAGTGGCCACTATCCACTGGAGAGGTAGCATTAGCATTCTTAAATACAACCATGTATATGTCATACTAGACCTAAGACTCACAGAAATGTTACTTTAGTCCATGATAATTCTCCTTGAATACCATTTCTTCTACATCATTGATGCACTCCTTTGTGAATTGCCTCCTGCCATTTTGACCAACAGCAGACAATTATTACTCTCAAATGCTAGTCTTTTATTTTGTACTTCAGTGCTATAATTTAGAATTATTCATTAATTCAGCAAACATTTCTGTGCTAGATACTGGTTGCTCAAAATAAAAGACATAATCTTGCTGGCAAGGAACTTAGCTTTATGGGCAAAGTGGGAGAATAGACAATTACAGTAAAGTGTTTTAAGTGTTTTCAAAGAGATATGGCCAGGATGCTCTTCTCTGAAGATGAGAGGAAAAGGGATGCAAGGGAAGGCTTTCATGAGGGAGTGATGTATGAACTAAGTTACAAAGATGAGGGGGAATCATGTAAAATGGAGAGCTAGATGGTTCACTGAAAAAGGAGCTGCTGTGCAAATGCACAGAGTCAAATGGCAGGTGTGCTATTGAGGAAACAGAATGGATCAGATTGAATGTGAAGGCATAGTGGAAAGAAGCTGGAGTCTAGGATGACCTTATTTCAGACAGGCTATGGAGCCACCCACTAAAATAGGGAATTCAGGATCTAGAAGAGATGTGTTTGGCTGAGGATGATAAATTCATTTTGAACATAGATATTGAAAGTCTTCTAGGTTTGCTAGATTAAGTCTTTGTCCTATCTATCTTTTCATATTCTTTTCTTTTCTGCATAATATCTATGTTGATAACAATGATCCCTTTCTTTACCAGGATAACTGAAAACTGAAAAATTTGGTAATGATCAGTTGTTTATAAAAGTACAGTTTTAACTTTAGCTAATGCCTTGCTCTAGATTCCTTTTTAAAAGTGTCCTTGATTAACTCTCTGCACCATTCCTCAAACAGCTAGCTCTAAATATTTACCCTTCCTCTTAAACTTCCCCTTAGTCCCTCTGTTCTCCCTGTCCTTGCTGGTGAGTTGTCTCCTACTGCTCTGCGATGGGGTTCTCCTTGATTCACACAGCTTCTCACTCCTACCTGTAAACCTAATTCTGTCTGTGCTCACTTCATTTCCTCTTCTCAGACGGAGGTTAAGTTTCTTTTCTATAAGGCTTTTGCCTTTGTTTGATTGTGTTCCCACTCTGGAGCAAAATGCCACTAGGACACTGAATTTGCCCTGAGGAAATTCACATCCCAGTTGCAAGGTCCAGTAGTTCAGTCCTTACCTTGCTTGCTTGCTTTGAGTACCTGTTGATGGTCCTGGGTAGAGTGGACTGACCCCTGACACTGGGGGCAGGCTGACTCTGCCCTCTAAGCCTTGACCATTATTCAGCTGTCCAGGGCCAGTGGCCAGTCAGGGCCTGAGGATGGAAGTTTTAATACTGCCAGTATCAGTGTCTTTCCTTATAGGCCAGGTTGTCCTCTGGCAGGTCTGGCTTGTCTATTCCTTACCAGCTGGTTACCATTCATCACGAAGTGGGCTATGGTGGTTAGCTACTAGGAGCATCAAGTTGGATTGGCCTGGGTTGCTGGCCCAATCTTGCCTTCCAAGTTCTTTCTAGATCAGGCATCAGGATGGGGCCAGCAGCTGGTCCCTGGCTGGTTTTTTTCCCTTAAAATTTGTTCCTTTCTTGGTTTTCAGATACCATTTTTTCCTAAGTTTTTCCACTTCTCAGAACACTTCTTCTTTATTTCCTTTGTTGTTCTGGTTTTCTTTTCCACATTGTTAAATACTGCTGTTCTCCAAATTTGGAGCTTGATCACATTGTTTCTGGATTTTCTCATGTTCTTAAATCACTTATATGCCATCACATCATTCTAGATCTCTCTCTGGAACTCAGATATATATCTATACCATCTCTATTCACTTTCTTGCCTGTATTTATTTCAACCTGATATCTCACTGATATCTTAAACACACGGTGGACAATTTTCCTACCCTATTCTCCAAAAACATCTTCCTTGGGTATTGATGAATATATTATATTAATACATATTTTCCCATCTACCTAGATGACCACACAAGAAATTTAGGTGTATCTTTTCTTCATTGCCTATATCCAAATGATAATGTCCTACCAATTCTGTCCCTTGACATTTACTTTTGTCCACTTATTCTTGCCATTCCTACTTTAGTTCATGCATTCAGCATCTCTCACTAGGACTAACACAATCCTTTTTCTAAATTATCACTTGGCCTTCATTCTTAAAGTTCTTAATCCATTATTAGAATAATGACACCCAAATACCTGCATAGTCATATAGCTCCAAATTTTTCAGCAGCTTCCAAGTTGATGACTCTGGCATACAGTTATGCAGGTTACATACTGCATAAACCAAGAATACAATATTTTCATTGTTATCTTAGGATTATCTATTTAATGGCACATAAATTATTTCAAGAAAAAAAGCTTATTTTTTGGAAGAAATGTTTTATCTGTTGTGTGATAACTGTATTGTATAAAGTCCAAAATTAAACTCAGACATATACAGCTCTGCAGGTTTAGGACTTTGCTTGACTATCCTAGTGGTATCTTTGCTTTGTTCCACCTTTATACACAACCCCTGTGTCCCAGTCTCAACATTTTTTTTTTTACTTCTGTGGAGACATTAAACAGTTTCCTTCTTTTGTCCTGTAATCTCATCCTTCTAGGCTGGAGACAGCCTGGCTAATCCCTTAGTACCTTCCTCACCTCTGCCTACTTAGAAATCACACATGTGACTTCACCAATTAGCCGAAATATCCCTTGCCTCTACTGTTCAGCTAAGAAACATCCTCTGGCCAAAAAGTTATTCTACTGCTT